GACGAGTGCGGGGGGTGTCATTCTTATCACAAGACATTACTACTCTTATTTAGTCTCTGATCAAGTCATCAATATCGGGCTGCGGGCTAGAGAGCCCTGCCTGACCCTTCTTGGGAGGTGCGCGTTCGCACGACCACGAGGGAGGGGGCCATAAAGTAAACAACACAGGTCTCGCCGAGGGTTAGTCTCGGAGCGCCCTCCCCAAAACCCATCGCTACGTCTACGACGCACTTTTTTGAGGACTGAGGACTGAGGACTGAGGCCTGAAGCGGGTATACGGGATACGGCTCCGACGGCGACGCGTGAGACGTCGCGTCGTGACAGCGTCACGCTCGACTTGTTGCAAAAAGCCTGTGGTGCAAACCCCCCCTAAAACCAGCTAAAACTACCAAAAACCCTGTCACGGCCAGCTCGGCACTATCTACTCAAAAAAGTGACGTAGAGCACCCACTTTTTCAGCGTTCCGCGCACACACAAGGTCCGCCTGCGTGCGGCGCCAGCTTCCCAGGGCCATGCATCCTAGCTGTCGCCACCGAAGGCGACTCGACGTCGCTGAGATCGGAGATCAAGCTCTGACAGGTCACACGTCGCTCCTTTGACGCCGACGTGACTCACCCGTGCAGAGCGCACCAGGACACAGTCTCGACGCGCTCGGTACGACGCCTGCGACCCGTCTCGGGTCAGGTGGCACGACGCTCATCGCGCCTGCCAGCGCTGCCGTGCAGGCTGCCACGACGAGGTCGAGCACGCTTCTATACGCTCGCCGAGCCTTCCTTTCCATCCCATTAGGCAGCCTGGGAACGGTGGCGGTCAGAGGCAAAGACTACGAGGGGGGTGGTGGAACCACATGTCACGGCTACTGCCGGCTCGACCCCACGATAGCCTCCGAAGGCTGACTTTGAGGCACCCTCATCGGACGATGTCGACGAGTTGGGTCGCTCTCGCGGTAGCCAGGTAGCCCCCCATACTAGTAGCACCAGCCATGGCCTCAGGGAGCGCGGGCGAGGGCGCTGGGAGCAACACGGACAAAAAGACATCAAAAGTGGTCGATGAGGCATATGACGAGATGTTCACACCACCCGTATTTGCAACTAGTCGCTCACGGGGCGACGATGTGTATATACTCTTTTTTGGTTTCTCGGTTTTCTTGTGTGGATATACTCAAGCAAGAGGTTCATTCATCAACGGATCATACGGGCACGACGGGTAGTGCACATGTGAGTCACTGGGGATATCGCGCGGCAACACAGGGTCTGATATAGATGTGTGTTGTGGGCCGAGAGCGCCAGAGACGGCTAGACTAATGGAAGCAGAAGCCCGACATGCAGGGGGCTTCGCAGCACTGGGACTGGACTGTGTACAGGAAATCAACATCGCGGTGGCGCGGGTGCAAGCGGAGGAGTGGGGCGGGCGGCACGCGCGCGGAAACAGAGTTCGGCATGCAGACGCGAGGAGAGGCGAGAGAGCAAGCATGGTGGGCGGCACCGGGGCGGCGCCTCCTTCCTAAGGAGGCGGGTCTTTCCCCGGGCGCCATCACATTGGCGCGCGGGCGCCATCACGTTGGCGCGCGGCAGCGAATCAGAGGGCGGACTCCACGAGGGCGGGCGGAGGGGGAGGGGGACGGGGAGGAGGGAGGGGGCACCTAGGCCGCGCCGCACCCGCCCGCAGAGCGGCTGCCGCGCAAGTAGCAGGCGAGGCGCGCCTTGTAGCAGTCGAGGAAGGCGGCCTCGCGCTGCGCGGCCGCCGCCGCCTCCTCGGTGGACGGCCGCTTCTGGCCTCGCCGCTCGCAGCGCAGGACCGCCTTTCCCGAGCCGCCGCTCGCCGCCTCGCGCGGGAAAGTGGCGCCTCCGCACTCCCACGCGATGCGGCGGTCCGCCTCCGCCTCCGCCTCGCGGACGAGGACCTGGAGCGCCGTCAGCGGCGGCTTCGAGTCGAGGCCGATCCCGTCCGGGCCCGGGGCGGTGGCGGCGGCGGTGCCGCCCTCGGCGGTGCCGCCCTCCGGCGACGCCTCTGCCGGCGGCTCGCAAACGATGTCCGCCATCTCGCCGAGGGAGAGGCCGGCGGCGGCTCCTTGCTGGAGGAGCGCGGTGCCGACGCGCAGGGTGCGGATCGACCCGTCCGAGACGCCGCTCTCGCGGCGCGAGGCGAGCAGCGCCGCGTCGGCGTCGGCGTCGATGCGGGCGATGTGCTCCTGCACCTCTGGCTCGAGGGGCGCCCGCGCCTGCGGCCAGTGGCGCCACTCGAGGTTGGGCACGACGGAGCGGAGCGAAGTGGGCAGGCAGAAGCCGTGGTCGATCGGCACGAGCCGCATCACCGCGCCGCGCGGCACCTCCGCCGAGGCCGGCGCGCCGAGCGATGCGCCGAGCGACGGCGCGGAGAGCGGCGTCGAGAGCGCCGCCGAGCCAAACGCGCCCGCGGGCGCCGCCGCGCCGCAGGGGGAGGGGGCGCGCGGGTTGGCGGGCCGCGCCGCGACGGGGGACGGGAAGACGATCGAGCGGTGCGCGGCCGTCTCCCCGAGAGAGAGCGCCGGCATGGGCAGCTGGCTCGGCACGGGCGGCAGGCCGGCCGGGGAGGCGGCCGGAGGCAGGTAGCTCATTGGCGAGCGGGACGCTGGAGGGGCTGCCGAGGAGGGGAGGAGCATCGGCGAGGCGGCGGGGGTGCCGCCGGGGGTGCCGCGCCCCGAGTGGCCCGGCGTCGACGGCTCCGAGCGCGGCGAGCGGCACGATCCGCAGCACGAGCTCGCCGTCGGCGTGAGCGCGTCTGCGGCGGCGGTCGAGGTGCGCTGGACGAGGATGTTGCCCCCGTGCCGGTCGGCGTTGAGGAGCCAGAGGTCGAGACAAGCGATGCGCTGCACCTCGAGCGTCGGGAAGAGCGAGTGCGAAAAGTCGTCCGCCGGCCCGTCGTGCGGCACGTACCGCTGCAGCGAGCCCGCCTTGTCCTTGCGCGCGCGGAACGGCGACGCCTGCGCCTCGCCGTAGGAGGCGCCCTCGCCGGTGGAGGCGTCGAAGAAGGAGGTGTGCTCGGTGCGCACGCAGGCGGTGGCCGGCACGCGGCAGAAGTGGCGCGACCGCTCCGTCGCGTCGAGCGTGTAGGCGAGGTGCTCGTTGAGCGCCGCGTCCCCGATCCGGATGCCGGGGCACATCCCCTCCTCCCCGATGTTGGCGATGAAGGTTTGCTGCGCGCCCTTGGGGTTGTTGGGGCCGCAGGGCTCCTCGTCGCGCGGCTTGAAGAGCGAGATGGGCAGCCGCGAGCCCCACGGCGACTCGATGATGTACGTCCCCCCGAGTCCGTCGTCCACGAGCGAAGGGCGGCAGCCGGCGTCGAGCGCGGCGCAAGACTCGTTCACCAGTCGGAGGATGTGCGCGTCGCGGCCGGCGCCGATCGGCTCGAGCTTGGGGCTGGCGCGGTGCGCCGAGAGGACAAACTTGGACCGCCAGCTCGCCGCCGTCGATGGCGGCGTCAGGGCTTGCAGGCCGGGCGAGGTGATTGTTGTGGCGGGCGACACAGGCGCGGAGATGGTGCGCTGGAGGGGGAGGGCCGGCATGAGATCGTCAACGCTGATGGAGCGCCCCCTGCGCTGCACCTCCATGCCCGCGTGCATCTCTCCGATCGCCAGGTCGGGCGGCTCGAGTTCGCCCAGACTCTCCGCGTCGCGCGAGCGGCGCCACGCGGAGAGCGGAAGGATGGGGGGCGGGCGGGGGTTGGCGTTGCGCCCCATGATCCCGTTTGAACCCCACGGATGCATCCGCCCGACGGGCGCCGCGCCGCGCGCACCGCCGGCGCAGCCTTTGAATAGCAAGCTTCCGACAAGGACACCGATTTCTGCTCACCCAAACGCTGCACACCGCGAGGTGCGAGGTGCAACCCAGCGCGCTGTGAAGTATTTTTTCCGAGGCCAGCATCGGTGGTGCGCAGAGAGGAGCGGGGTCCCCACCCCGGATCCCACCTCCGGTGGCTTCGAACGTGCTCGCAGCAGAGATGCGTGCCTCAACCACGCTTCTTCTGCTTTCCCTCGCCGCCGCAGGCGGCCTGACACTCGCGCCTCCTCGCGCAGCGGCGCTCCGCCGACCCGCCGCCGCGCTCGCCGCGCCCTCGCAGCTGCGGGCGGCCGCTCCGGTCGCGATGCGGGCGCCTGCCGGCGGCGACGGGCAATTAGCCCGGCTTGGCACTGCCTCCGCCTCCGCGGCGGCGTGGCTGCTGGTGGCCGCCGCCCGCACGCTCGCCGCCTCCACCGGCGTTCCCGTCCGCTCCGCGCCCGTCGACGTCGTTAAGTGGGGCGTCGGCGTCGGCGGCGCCCTCGCCGGAGCGGCGTACGTCCTCGCCTCGCGCTCCTCGCGCAAGTCCAAGCAGGCCGCGGCGGTGGAGCCCCCCGCCGCGCAGCCCGAGCTCGACGCCGACGTCGAGATGCTCAACAGCCTGCAGGCCCGCATGCGCTCTCTGTACGACGAGCCTGCGGAGGACGAGCCGCCAGCAGAGACGACCTCCTCGGGCGGCACCGCGCTGCTCGAGCGGCCGGACAAGGAGGAGGCGGCGCCGGCGGAGGAGGAGCCCCTGCCCGAGGTGGACGAGGCCTTCCTCGCCGACGACTCCCTCGTCCTCGGCGACCTCGCGCGCCGCATGCGCGAGATCGCCGACGCGCCGCCGCCTGCGCCGCCCGCGCCTGCCGACGACTTTGGCTCCGGAGGCACGGCGCTGCTCGAGCCGCCGCGGTCGGAGGAGGCGCGGTTCGACGCCGACGCGCCGCCGCCCACCTTCCCGGACGGCTTCCCGCTCCGCGACTTCGACAGCGACGCGCCGCTCGACGCGCCCGCCGACCCCGCCGACCGGCTGGCAAAGCCGTCCGACGACGAGATCGCGATGCTCAAGCGGATGATGGGGGAGGCGTAGGGCGGCGGCAGCCGTGCCGGCGCGGCCCGGAGGGGGCATCGGATCTCTGCCCAACACGGCAGAAACGGGCGGCGCCATGGCGCGCATGTCACCTTTGAGCTATCGTCGCCTATCGAGGCGGTGTCCTCTCTTTCTGTGTCGAGCACGCATCTCACAGGATTGTCGATTGATGATCACATGGATTGCGATGGAAAACGAGGAGAGCACACACACCACATAGTGCCGTGCGACAAACGCTAGACCGCGCCGGCGGTGTGCGAGGACCACCACCCGCCGCTCGTCATACACGCAAAACTCGTCTCGAAAATGCTATATTGAGGGGAGATGTCGGACGCCAACACCTCGGACCTGCTTGGCCACGTGCTCGTGCAGGTTGAGCAGCTCACGCGCCGGGCTGAGGCCTCGGAGGCGGCCTTGCGTGCGGAGCGGGCGCGGAGCGAGCAGGAGGTGAGAGATCTGGCCGCAAGGATATAGAGAAGGGTGCGCGCGCTGCCAATATCGTTTGAGCTTTGGTGCGAACGAAGAGACTAGAGAGAGATTTTTTACGTGCGAGAGAAGAGAGAAACCCACGCGCCATGGCGGTGCCGGTGGACGTGTATGGCTTTATTCGGTTTTTTGCCGAGGGTATATGTGGTGTTTATGGAGGTGTTATGTTAAGTTATGAGGTGTGTAATATAGGGTTAGCCGGAGACGACTTTCTGGACGGCACGCTGGGACTCTGGGAACTTTCTTCATACGAACCGGGGACATTCACCACCGACTGGACTCTGTTTAATGATAGTAGAGTTTGAGTTCTGTGACTTTGATGTGCTAACAATATATTCGCAGGGTGGCCCGGCTCCTCGGAAGAGTTGCCCCCCGACCGGTACTTTTACCCATCTCACACTACAGAGGTGTCCGTTTTTATTTATTTATTTACTCGAGTACATCACCGTGGTGACGCAATCCAAGGACTAGCAAAGAGCCTTCACTTTCGCGCGTGATCATCTGACATGCTCTCGGTGTTCGCGGTCGTTGCCAGCCCCCTCGAGTACATCACCGGCACTGCGCCTGCCGTGCAGGAGATCTCCTTGCAGCGCCAGCAGGAGGTGTACTTGCACCGCCAGCAGGAGATCTCACAGCGCCAGACAAGCTTCGTCGCTGCTACACAGACTTCGGCCGGCTCTTTCGCTGATGGTGAGAGACCCAACCTCCCGGCCCTGCCACCGTAACGAACCCTCACCCCCGCCCGTTCCGTCACCACAGCTGGCGTCGACGACATCATGTCCTGCGACAAGTTGCCGCCGGACTCCCGCAACTTGCGGTTCTGCATTCAACAGGAAGGTCCCTTCGCCGGCGAGGTCGTCCAGCTGGTACCGGACGCGGCAGGCGGATACCAGAGTATCAGCCTCAAGGAGCGAGACTGTGCCGTGCCAGAACGAAGCATGGCTGCCGGCCGCATGTTCTTTGCGAATAAGGGTCCTGGAAACGGCTGTCGCATCGCGTCCGCAGACATCACGTACCAGAACAGCACCGGCGCGATCGTGAAGGCCGTCGCCGGAGAGATCATCAACCCGGGCGGTATTGCTGGCGAGTCCATCTACTACCCATCACCCGCCCGTCAGGACTGCTACTTTTACACCGACGCGTGCGCTGACGACGAGTTTTGCATGGTGAATGCGCATGAGCGGTGGGGCAAATGGGCGTCTGACCCGTCCGGCAGGACCGCAGACGCGAACTGCAATAAAGAAGACTACGGATTCAACATCACCAGTGCGCGACTAGCGGGCGCTACTGAGAGCGACTTGCAGGCTCTTCGTTCGAGCATCACGAATGTCTACTGCGGAGCTTTTTGCCCAGGGGGCAACTGCACCGACGCCGTGGAGGGGACTGATGTCGAGCAACGCAAGATGATGATTCAATTCGAGTCAACCTACAACAGCGTCGCATCGACCCAGGGCAACCCTCACGGCAGTGTTGGCTTTGCAGTGCCAAACCCCTGGAAGCCGATGCAGGGTGTGTGTGTCAAGCACCGTACCGAGCACCAGAGCTGCTTCCCGACCGACAAGGGCAGCGGCGACTTCTACCAAGAGGCCTACATCACAAGGGATGCCGCGACAGAGGGCGCCAAGGGCGGCTCCATTGACCGGCCCCTCGTCTGCGGATCGGGCCTCAGATGTCATGGTACTCACGAGATGCCACACACATGCATGCGCGCACCCGGCGACGTCGAGACGATGGACACGGTCGCTGCGAGGTATGTCGACCTGCACTCGCGGCCACGTGAACACTCGCGACGTGAGCAGTGGTCCTGCTCCGAGGACATGGGGCTCGGGTGCAAGTCCGGGCTCGTCTGCACTGGAAAAGATTTTGATGTTCTTCCCAACACGTGCGTGAAGGCGCGGCCCGCCGACCTCTGCTACGCGGGGCCGTGGTGGGACTCGACGAAATGCCCGCGGACAGAGGGACCCGCACCCCGCCCTTCGGACGCCACGCAAGCAGGTAGCGAGGAGCGCTGCGGTGGTGGAATGAGTCAAGAGCAGGCTGAAGAGGCACTCAAGGCGACCATGCTGCTCATCGCCGGTGAGGTGGCGTTCCCGGGCACTTGCCGCTATTGGACAGGCCCCAGCAGCGGATGGCACGTGCGCGCCCAGAACACGCGCAAGGCTATCTACGATGTGTTCGAGGCGCTGTGGCCTAGCATCCACAACCGCATGATCCCCGACTTCGATATCATCGAGAAAGAGTACTATCTCGGCAGATCTCCGGATGGCAACTCTCACGTGACTGCTGAGGAGTGCGCGGCGGCAACGGAGACATCGGTAAAGTGCGAAGGTGAATGCAACATCATGGAAGCGACGTCTGCAATTGACTTCTACAATGGGTGCCAGATGAAGAACTGCAGGATCCGGTACTCTCTAGCTCAAAGTGTGTCCAGAGCATCCCGACCAAACCAGGTGTGGAGCCTGATTCACTGGGTGATGCACAACCTCCCGGAGAGGATGAGCGTGGAGCAGGTGCAGGCGTCGAAAGCGATCGCGCTCATCCTCAAGGACAACTTTTGGTGCAACGACTGCCGCGGGTTCTTCACAATCGGCGTCCTTGGCGCGGTGGGCTACCCGCCAGTGGAGCGCAACGGCACGAGGCACGCGATGTACTGGAATTTGGGCCACAACATCGCGAACGAGCACGTTGCGTCCACGCGCGGGGGCCACCCGTGGCTCTACCAGCTCGCCAACCAGAGCACGGGCTTCGCTACCGCCGCCGATTTCCAGAACCCGTTCTTCATGCCCTTTGACTTCAGTGAGCGGCAGTGGAAACAGACGGCGCCGTGCCCCGGTGAGGGTGCGGGTGCGGATCCTGGATCCCGTCGCCGCCTCCTCTTCTGAGAGCAAAGGGGATATCACAAAGGTAGAGCCGTCGAGCTCTCTGTGTTTACTGGTACTGTTCATTTCGAGAGTTCGTGTTCCCTCATGACTCATGTTGAGCCGCCGTGTGGAGCCCGACCGAGAGTTAATATGAAACTGCTTTTAGACAACACCGGGCCCAGCAGATGTTGTTGATAGAGATTTGTGAGTCCTTCGGTAAGCGCGGGTTAGCGCGGGTTCGTGCTCACTAACCCGGCACGGGTTAGCAAGGGTCAGAACGGGTTATCATAACCCGACGCTAACCCGACGCTAACCCGGCACTAACCCGTGCGGCTGGGGGGCATACGTCAGCAGGGGTTTGCGCCGGGTTAGGGGTGGGTTAGGGCCGGGTTAGAGCTGGTTGGCGAGATGAAACGGCTGCTGCGGCGGGCACTTCTGTTAACATATTCTGCCTTAACAGGTCGGCATGGTCTTCTGGTAACAGGCATGTTGTTGGTAACTTGATCGAATGTCGCCGAGGTCGCGGACGAGCACTCGGTGTACATCGAAAGCCTGGGCGGCCGGTACGTCTGGGACGAGGCTCGCTCGTGCTGGAAGTGGGTCGTCTACGTCGACTAGAGCACGTCCCTCCTCACTGCTCCGTGCACGCCTGACGCCCAGTCGACACACCTCCCGTTGCGCCCATGGCCTCCGCTACAGTGGCAGTGCGGGCTGCAGGGGGCCCGGCCCTCAACGTGTGCCAGTGATGGCCCTAGGGAGGAGGAGTGAGTGCGCTGAGGGCGGTACATTATAGATCCTGTGGCATGAGACTGTCCCGCTCGCCATGCGCCCGCGGCTGTGGTGTGGCGAGTGAGTGAACGCACGAGAGAGGGGCGGTACGAGCCGTAGAGCTCTAACCCCAACCTAACCCGAGACTAACCCGAGACTAACCCGGCGCTAACCCGCGCTGCTCGGGGGGCATACGTTAGGACGGGTTAGTGCCGGGTTAGCGTCGGGTTAGCGTCGGGTTATGGTAACCCGTTCTGACCCGTGCTAACCCGTGCCGGGTTAGTGTGGCTTAACCTGGTGGAACCCACGCTAACCCGCGCTTACCGAAGGACTCACAGATTTCACGTTGTAGAGAGCCTCTACATCGCTCTACAACGCAGGCGCATCGTCACGCGGCGGATGTAGAGCTCTACAGCTCTACAGCGCTCCAGAGCGCTCTACATCTCTACAGCTCTACAGCGCTCTACACTCTACATCCTTTACACCCTCCCTCAGGCGGCCCGCTGAGGGGGCAAATCTCCCCCCCCCCCCCCCCAAATGCATACCTCTCTTACGCCTAGTTTTCTTCATGCATCATGGGCCTCAGATCGCCCGACCGCGGTCGGTCCGGTGCTCCGTCAGGGGCGGCGACCCCCCCATCTACAGATGATATGCGCATCCTAGATGCCAAACGCCATCTAGGATGCGTTTTCCATCTAAGGACGGTTCTCCGAGAAGATTTAATCATCTTTAGATGGTGCCCCGCGTCTTTTGATAGCCCGTGACATCTCAGATACTGCAGTCGTCTTCAGACGCACAAGCGTGCCGAGATGATACCCTCATCTTGGGTTAGTCCATGCATCCCAGGATGCAATGTGGCATCTGAGGATGCGCAAAATGCATCTCTTCAGCGAGGAACATGAGCGCGTTATCGGGTTTTTTCCAATATTTTCGATCAACAGTGTCGGAGTTTTGCCGAACCCGAAGCCGAATTAAAAACCAGTCTTACATAGACAATCGCAACCGTCCATGCAGTAAAGTCAGCATCAGCACAAGGGCTATAAGAAAGTGCCCCCCACCATCACTCACTGGCTCCCAGTTCCATCACCATCAGTAGTAGTTGTGCTTCACGCTTTCCCGCACCAAGTGGCGGAGCGAATGCACGGCGTTGCGCAGGCAGTGGATTGCAAATCCTCTATCCCCAGGCCGAATTTGGGTCGCACCAAGTGGCCCCGTACGCGATGCCACATCGGGAGCCTATACGGTGAGCACGCCAGCCTCAGGGCGGGAGGACTGTATTGTGCACTGTCTTCAGACCTTCAGAGCACCGCGTGAAAACGAGGGGGGCGGATACAGTGAATACGGCTGAATACGGCCGAATGCGGCTGAAGATGTGTCCTCTCGCGCGCTAGTTGGAGCGAATGCACGGCGTTGCGCAGGAATCATAGACGCATACCTGAAGACGTAGAGGTCAGCACGCAATCATAGTACGCGAACCTGCAGTCGTCAACTTTCCCGGTGTATGAACAACCCTTGTTTTCGCTGACGGCCGCAGCAGGCATGTAAGAATTTGCACAGGTGTCGACCGGCACAAACTGGCAGTCGGAGACTGAACGAGTGTTGCGACAGAGCGGACATGAGCGGCCGGTTCCGGTGTTAGAGGAATCGTAACAGCAGTGTCTTGCCGACCAGAGCGAGTTGCACATGGTGAAGGCAGCCACTGTCGGGGCCGGAGTCGGCGCAGGGGTGGGGCGCGGAGTCGGCGCGGGAGTTGGAACCGAGTCGGTGCCCTCGGCGCTGTCTGGGATGCCGTCGCCGTCCGAGTCGGGATCCTCCGCATCAGACAGGCCGTCGCTGTCTTTGTCGGCGGTGTTGGACTCCTTGGCGTCGGGGATGCCGTCGCTGTCAGCGTCGGCGGCGCCCTCCTCAGCGTCGGGCTTGCCGTCGCCGTCCGAGTCGGGGTCGAGGTTGTCGGGGATGCCGTCGCTGTCCGAGTCGACCGTACCCTCTTGGGCGTCCGGGACGCTGTCGTTGTCCGAGTCGGGGTCCTTGATGTCGGGGATGCCGTCGCTGTCCGAGTCGACCGTACCCTCTTGGGCGTCCGGGACGCTGTCGTTGTCCGAGTCGGGGTCCTTGATGTCGGGGATGCCGTCGCTGTCCGAGTCGGCCGTCCCCTCTTGGGTGTCCGGGATGCCGTCGTTGTCCGAGTCGGGGTCCTTGATGTCGGGGATGCCGTCGCTGTCCGAGTCGGCCGTCCCCTCTTGGGTGTCCAGGATGCCGTCGTTGTCCGAGTCGGGGTCCTTGATGTCGGGCTTGCTGTCGCTGTCCGAGTCGGCCGCCCCCTCCTCGGCGTCCGGTATGCCATCACTGTCACAATCACTCTGGTGCTCTGACAGTCGCCGCGACGGACGGCCAGAGGAAGCCTCGGCGCTAGGGCCGATCGCAATGCCGGTCTCGCTCGATGCCTCGTCCACACAGCTGATGCCTCGCCGGCAGGCAGAAGCAGCCCACCCGCCGCAGCGGCTGCGGGACGCTTGCTGTAAAAGCGGGAGAAGGCAAACTCGACGGCGTCCCCAGAGGGCACCTCGTACATCTCGGCGGAGGCCTCGATGGCCCCATGGTCAGGTCGCGCTTGTCTGTATCCAGGGCCGGGCGTGAACGCGAGAGCCTCTCATGGGTCGCTGCGAGGAGAGGGATGCCATTGTGCGGCCCTTGTGTCGAGAAGCTCTGCCCGACGAGCCCTGCGAGGTACGGTAATTTCTATGGGAAACGGGCTGTGCGAAGGGACGCCCACGAAGTGGGTGGGCGCACCATGAGTCTGCCCGGGCGCAAGCATCATGCTGCCGACCGTGCGCAACGAGACGTCGAGGCGGTGCGTCGGGCCGGCCAGGTGGTCGTACACGTAGTTACCGCGCACCGTCGACTGCCACTCCGGCGTCTGGATGATCATGTTGCCGCACGAGAAGGACCTCATTGGGCCGAGGAAGAAGGCCAGCTTGCCACAGAAGCCGGTGAGCATGTTGAAGCCCCGGTGTTGAAGTCGCTATGGAACGGATGACGCGTTAGAAGCTGGTGTCGGGCCGCTGGCCGTTATGGCAGCTCGCACTTGAGCTCGTTCGCCCAGAATGTAGCGTGCACGAGCTCTCCCTCCTTGCCTTTCCGCCCCGTCTCGGCCACAACGTGCACCTCGGTGATGAAGGAGCCGTCCACCGTCAGCGCGCCCTTGCGCAGCTTGAAGGTGGCGTCCTGCGACGGGAAGGGCGGTTGGGCAGGAGGAGACGCCACGCGCGGTCAGGGGCTTGCGGGGGCGCCTCGGTCTTGATGTTGATCGCAAAGCCCGGAGCAGAGTGGAAGCAGTATAGCAGCCTGTGCCGGACAGCAGGGTACGAGTCAGCTGCGGGCTGTGGGCGGGACGCGCGCCCCAAAGTAGGCGCTCTCGCCCGTTGCGGCCGCGAAAGTCAGCGCGTCCACCGTGTGCGAAGGAGAAGTGGGGGTCCTTGACGGCGTCCGTGGCGTCGTCGTGGACTTCAAACCCGGAAAAGCAAGGCACCCACTGGGCGCGCCGTCGTTGGTGGCCGGGCTGCTTGAACGGGACGACGGCATACTCTCAGACGGGTCTTGCGCTCGATCGGTCGCTTCGAGCCGCCCCTCCAGCTCCAGAATCTTGGCAGCCAGCTTGCGACGGTCAGACTCCTGCTTGCGACGGTCAGACTCCTGCTTGCGACGGTCAGGAGTGCCAACAGGGTCAAACGCATGCCGAGGGGAGGCGACGCCGACCCTTGCTTATGAGGGACGGGGCCGATTCGCGCAGCGCCGATTAGTTAGTTAGTTGCGGGATTTGAAAAGTCGTGCCCGAAGTGTCGGTGATACACGAGATCGGAGATCGCAGGTTGACTAGTCCCCACCCGGCTACCCCTCTGACTATTGCATTCTGTCTGTGGTGATGCCTTTGTCCCTGAGAACGCACACAACGCCTCGTGTGTAATGCCCCGTGTGTTCCGCGAGTGCGTGTGCCCCGTCGTCCGTGCTAGGACGTGTGTAACACTGACTGACTGACTTTTCAGCCATGCTCTTCAGCTGGGTGCGCGCCAAAGTGCAAAGAAACACTAGGGCAAAGTCCAAAGAAAAAAATAAAAAAGAGGA